CAGAGAGTGAGCTCCTTCGGGTTATAGCCTTTTCTTCTGTTACATTAAAAGTGATCTTTCTCTTTCCCCTCCTAGCGGGTGTCCTTGAGCGCCAGTCCATAGCTAGCGCGAAGGCAGGGGGGCGAAGCTGGTAGAGCACTTTGGAGTCCCGCTGCCTTTGTTTGAGCACATCACCTGTGCTTACCGGCCAGTTTGCTTAGCACACAGCCCCTCATTCTCCCATTTGCCTCATTCGCAACGTGGCCATGATAACAGGACACACCTCAGAGGTGTCCTAGGGATCAAATGAGTTAATGTTTGTAGAGCACTTAGAACAGTATCTGGCACGTACTAAGCACTGAGTGCGTGACGAATGAAGGTTGTCAACAGTGAGAGTTCAGTCATGAGCAGTGGTGATTGTTGCTAAAAATGAAATAAAATATAGGCACTTTTTTTTTATAAATTGGAGGTTGAATTTTATTCCCAAAGTAAATCTCGATGTCACCTTGACTTGTATTCCGTATATATTTTTTGAAAAGTTAATAAGATACCTAAAATTGTGTGCCGGGCATTATGCTGAGTGTTTTCTTTGTAAAGAGAGCCTTATTTAGCTCTCCCAGCAGTACTGTGAAGGTAGGCAATATTGTGCCCCCCTGTTACAGAAGAGGAAACTAGCTGACCTAAAGATGGTAGGTAGCTTTCCCAGGTCATGCAGCCAGTAAATGGTGTGCTGAGAGGCGCACCCCAGCATGTTGACTCCAGATCCCCGCCCAGAACCTTCTACTCCTCTTGTATGGAAACAAAGGGGAGTGAGAGTGCTGAAAATGTTAGGGAATACTCTGCCTGTTTTTCTCTTGACCACTCAGTTATGATGGGACACCCTCAGAAGGATCCACCATCTGTGGGAAAGGTCATGAAGGACTAATGTAGGGTCGGTCAGTGATCATTGCTAGTTGACTATGAGAAGGCATGCTTCATGATTGCGATGTTCATGTGCACTTAAATATAATAATACAAACTTGTATACCAACTCCACTGTTTCAAAGGCTGTTATGAGATGAATTGAGTTCTTCCGTGAGAAGTATTCTGTACAGGGTCCCACACACGGCAAGTGCTCAAAAAGTGTTAGCTGCGATTACTGTTACTGTCATTGTGGTTGGGACTTGATCCTCAGAGGGGCGCTTCACGAGTCTCCCGAGTTTTCTGAGTTCTGAGAGGTTAAATGACGTATCTGCAGACACAGGACTGGTTCGTGTGTTTTGCCCCCAGTCCAGCTGCTTCTAGCCTTGATGGCCTCGTTCTGCCAGCCGCACCATCTTCCGTCCCCCCCACCCCACCCCGTTGCCAGAGAAACCTCCCGGGCCCTGCTTAGCCTCAGAGCCACAGGTTGCTTTATCCCCTGGAAGTAAGTTCTGCGGTGGATTCTCCAAGTGACTTCGGAACACCCAGGCCTTCCCGAGGGGATTCAGTCTCAAATGTGATCTGAGCTGTAAACAGAGACACTTGATTTGAAGTTCACCTAGCATAGTGCTTGGTGCAATTTCAAACTTGGTCAATTTTCTTCCCTCCTCCCTCCCCCCTTTTTTTTCTGAGGTCCGGATAGTACTCATACATTAATGAATATAAAAACAGGTCTTTCAGAGTCTGTTTACTCTCCTCGAGTGAACAGCATCTTTTTTGCGAAAGTATCTGTTTTCTTGCATGCATATTCAAGTTAAATTCACAGTTTCCCTACTTTGAAAAACAGTTTTCTTGGAAATAAAATGACGAGACAGACTTTGAAACTGAAAAACTGCTGCTTTGCCTCAGGTATTTTTGCTTGAAAACTGATACTTTCATGAATATTTAATTTTTAAAAACTTGGACAAGATGATTGCTATTTCAGTTGGTGTTCTGGTCCTTACGAAAGTGATGCAGTTTTGGTTTTTAGAGAAAGTGTAACATTTTTCCATCAGTGAAAATTACTCTTTATGACTTCAATTTCTACTTTTGTATTGTTTAAATCTCTTGTAAAACTAATGGCAAAATTCCAAAGATGCTTCCTTTTGCTTTTTTTTTTATTATCACCTCCAGTCTGGTAAAGGCCTCACACATTCATTATTTCAAGAGCAGATGTGTTGCAGGAATTTTCACAAAGCCGGCTGTCTGGTGGTTTTGTAAGGATGGTTTAGTGAGTTAAAATGGCTAAATGCTTCAGGTTATAATGATAAGTGCTTTTAAAAGAGCCTCATCAATAGACCATGTAAATAGTGAATCTGAATTGGGACTTAGTCATGATTTTGTTATGTTATGATTTTGATGCATAATTGTTGACATACAGTTTGGAGGGTCTCTGATTCCTCAGCTACAGAGTTATAATGTCACTAAAGAAAATTTGTGAATAAAAAATTAAGTGAGCTATTGGGAAAATAATCACCAGTACTTATCTGATAGATTACAATGACAGAAAGAATAATGGCTAAAATGTACCAAGGGCTTCCTCTGCTGCAGACACTGGGCTGAGTCTCTGTTACACAATTGAATTTCATCTCCATTTTATGCTACAGGAGAAACCAGGTTTTGCTAAAAGCATCTAGGAAATTGCAGAGCTAGGATCTAGATGTCGAGCTGCCTGACTCCCAGCCCAGGTTCTGATCCATTTTCTGTAGCTTCTACACCAACACATTCTGTCCTATAAGCTAAGCCACCATACCTCGTATTTTCAACGTCTTACTAGACGCCATGACTCCATGAAGAGGGGAAACCTGCATTAGGTCCATTTTATAGGCAAAGAAACTGATGCTTAGGTGATCAGTAACTATTCCAAGCCTATACACTTAGCACACGAGAGACTTGTCCTTGTCCTTCTGGAGACCTTATGTATGTCATAAATGAAGGATTTTTTTTTTTTTTTTTTTTTTTTTTTTTTTTTACTGTGCTCTTTTCATGCTCTTTTGGGACTGTGTGAAACACCTTGAAATTTTATTTTTTTATTTTTTTATTTTTTTTTAAGATTTTATTTATTTGAGACAGAGAGAATGAGAGACAGAGAGCACGAGAGGGAAGAGGGCAGAGGGGGAAGCAGACCCCCCGCTGAGCAGGGAGCCCGATGTGGGACTCGATCCAGGGACTCCAGGATCATGACCTGAGCCGAAGGCAGTCGCTTAACCAACTGAGCCACCCAGGTGCCCCATGATTTTATTTATTTGAGAGAGAGAGAATGAGAGAGAGCACATGAGAGGGGGGAGGGTCAGAGGGAGAAGCAGACCCCCTGCCGAGCAGGGAGCCCGATGCGGGACTCGATCCCGGGACTCCAGGATCATGACCTGAGCCGAAGGCAGTCGCTTAACCGACTGAGCCACCCAGGCGCCCCACCTTGAAATTTTATTAGAAAACATTGTCATATGATTTAAACTTGCTATGTTTATCATGTTGGTCCTGTGATGACTCAGAATTCCTTAAATGACTTTTTCCTCTCCCTTCAAACAAAATCTTAGCAGTACCACTGCAGAATACCAGTGTGAAATATCATAAAGCAGGTTATTCCAGCCAAGAATCCGAGGTGAGGCCAGCTTTAAATTGTTGAGGCACATTAAAGTCAAATCAGTGGTGAGAATGCTGACAGCTCCTCCTCAGAAAAGATGTCTCTGTGGCACATTTAAAAATCATATCCCCCAGTGAAGATGATTAAGAACTTGGACATATTCGTATCTGTGGCCACAGAGGAGAAAAAGGGATCATTTTCATCACAGGTCAGTGCTGAGCACACTGAACTCCTTTGAATAGCTGTCCCTTTCTTAATTCGTCCAAGGATTCTTAATTTATTTTGCTTATTATCAGAAGCGTCTCCCCCCTTGAGGAAACATAAAATTTATTAAGAGAATTGTAACTTAAAATATTCAGAGCACTCCTGGCATCTTTATTTAAATGGATGCAAGAAATTTTACTGCAAGAAAGTATATATTGATCCCTGTAGCTTACTTGTCATGTTTAGTATTTTTCTCTTTGCACAAGAAGAATAGCTTCTGTAATGTGAATTTAAATGATACATCAAGCTAATAAATGTGGTTGGCCTAGCAAGTGATAAGCATAACTAACTCAATTTAAATGTCTTTTATATAAAAATAATGAACCAGTGTATTAAAGATTAAAAATGTTAATGCAATTAGCAAAAATTAGCATTCAATAAAGAAGTGTGTTTCAGTTTTGAGATGGATGATACATCATTCAATGACCAGATAAGGACTAAATTCAGGTACACTTTATTCAGCTGGCGTGTATGTTAAAAACCAAATAAATAAAAATTAAATGCTTTATTTGCCCCTTTGCAACGACGTGGGTGGAACTAGAGGGTCTTATGCTAAGCGAAATAAGTCAGTCAGAGAAAGACAATTATCATATATAATCTCACTCGTATGTGGAATTTAAGAAACAAAACAGGATCATAGGGGAAGGGAGGAAAAAGTAAAACAAGACAAAACCAGAGAGGGAGACAAACCATAAGAGACTCTTAATCATAGGGAACAAACTGAGGGTTGCTGGAGGGGAGGGGTTACAGGAATGGGGTAACTGGGTGATAGACATTTAGGAGGGCACGTGATGTAATGAGCACTGGGTATTATATAAGACTGATGAATCACTGACCTCTACCTAGACATGAAACCAGTAATACACTATATGTTAAGTAATTGAATTTAAATTAAAAAAATGTAAATGCTTTATTTGAAGAAACTTTGATAAAACAGTATGTGGCATGTAGACAAAAGGACACGCAGGTCCTTGGGGACTGTGCCAGAAACCAGGGCATGAGGTGACTTAAAACATATTGTCACCTGCCTCCTTGTGGGGGAGGTAGAGGGGATGTAGCAGGTGTGACAGTGAACGTGGGACTGGAGGGGAAATGAATTTTCCTGGCTTCACTGCTAAATAAAGTGAGCATTTTTGGTTTGGGGACGCTGACTTTAAAACAGTGGAGTATACAGTAGTGTCGCTATTTGCCTTAATGTCGCTGTGGCGTCTTGTCACTCTATGCTCATCTGCAGGTGGATGGCAAGCATTCCGATGAGGCAGCCTTGATCCTCCACAGGAAGGGGTTTGACTGCCGCTTCTCGAGCAGAGACACGGGGCTGCTTTGTTCCACAACCCAGGGAAAGGTGAGCTGAAAAGTGGTTTTTGCTTGTTGATTTCATGTGCTTTGAAATCCTTGCTTTCTGCTAATCATTCTGACAATAAGATAATGTTTCATTGCCTCTTCGTGGACTCATTCCCCTCAGCTGCTGTAATTTAGCTCAAGTCTCTCCATCTTAAGAAAGCACTTTCTCAACCTTCGATCTCTTCTCCTTGTCAGCATCAAAATGCACGTCTGGAACATGGGCACGTGTAGGGGCAACATTCTCCTCCATTCCTAGGCCTTCCGTTGCCAGCTGACAAAACATCCTCTCCCCACCCCCCATCCCCCAATATTCCCTCCTCTCTCACACATGCTCATGTAGGATCTAGGTCCATGAAGTCTCAGAGGGGCAAAAGCAGGTTTTATAATAACTAAAGGTGGGGTGGGGTGGGGTAGGGAAGTGGTGACACTGGCCAGTCGGCCCCGAAGCAACCTTACTTAGCTCCAGTCAGTTGTTGTCCCAGGGGAAATGAGGGTCTAGATCTCCTGATCAAGACAGATTTGCATAGGAGTCCTCGCTGTGCCAGCCAAACAGGTCTTCAGGCTGACCTGCCGGCTGCCCAGTTTTTCTGTCTCCTTTGAGCTGGTCTTTCTGATAGTTCCCTCAGGCTCTCCTTGGAAGGAAATGAACCTCCAGCCTTCTGCCTCTGGCTCTGAGCAGGTTGTGCTCAGAGAAGACAGCTGGATGGCACACAGGCAGGTCTGCCCCACGGGGCAGCTCAGCTGACCCAGCTCTTCTCCAAAACCTCACAGATAACCTGTAGATCAGACTTAAGAGATTCATTTCCAACCCTACCAACTAGAATGTGCATAGGGTCTGAAAAGGAGAGAAAAGACAATATGGTAGGGGGTCAAAATCCACTTAGGCAGATAATAAGCTTCTTCATTTCTCGTATCATGCCCTCCGTGGAATTGGTGCGAAGAAAGCACTGATGGTTTTGGGTTTGTTTTTCATGATATTTACGCTTCACCTTATTACTGATGATGTGAGTGTACTTGGTTGTAAGCATTTGTATATAGACATTAAGGCGTCAAGTTTTAAGGGGATTATATGGTCCAGAGAGACATGGGATGAGGGTAGTACTTTCTCAGCAACCCCCCAACCCTGAAAATGGGACTCACTGACATGAGGAGCCTGTGTCCTTTCTCTCAGCTCTTTGGGAACAAGAAGAACGACAACTGTTAGGTGTAAATGTTGGGTGTAAGAGGATACGGATGTTTTTAAAGCTTGCTGGCTCATAGATGTGTTTTCTTTTATTGAAAAAGTGGCCCCTGCACGTGATAAGTTCTCAAGAAATTCAGAAGAAGAATGTAGAGTGAGCTGTCCTCTCCTGGTTACACTTCTCCTAGGTGTCCCTCCCAGGGTGGTCTGTGTGTCCAGGCATGCATAGCTGTATCTAATCTCCTTCCTCTTCCTCTTTTTATCATTAAAAGGAAACTTCAAATACACTGTTTTACTCTCCTACTATTTTCCACTGAATAAATATATAGATGTGTTACTAATCTTTCTTCAAAGTTGACCTAACTGTGCAATTTTTTTTATCATTTATTTTCTAGATTTTGGTACAGAAGCTTTTTAGCATGTTTACTGTCGCAAGTCTCATACCTTCATCATTATCCTTGATGCATTCACCTCCAGACGCCCGAAATATAAGTGAGATCAACTTGAGTCCCATGGAAATCAGCACATTCCGAATCCAGTTGAGATGAACCTGGCTTTCAAATTTGGATTGGGAAGCATTGTCTTTTATACACTTCTTGGTTTGACGTGCAATAAGGAAGCAGATTATTTTAGCTTCTGGCTACTGTGAGGACATGAATTCTGTGATTGTTATTATAATTATTATTATTATTATTTTTTTTTTTACTAGTACAGAAAGAAAAAAAAAAAAGCCATGCTATAGCCAGTTTTTCTTTAAGTTCCATCCATGAATCACCACCATCAGTATGAATCGATGCAACAATGAAGGAAGAAATGTCTAAAACAACCTCTCCACAGATTGTATCTCAGGTTAAATGCTAACTAACTATATCTGTGTCGGGAGTTGTGAAGAGATTGTTATAAGTATTCATGTTGCTGATCCTTCATTAGTTTTACAAAAATACCCATTTTTACCAAAATGGAATAAAAAGCTGAAGGGTAATAGCTAATGGCCAAAATGGTTGCAATTGTTCATACGCATTCGAAAAATTGTGTGTATTGAAATATGTGGAAAAGTGCAATCCATCAACCCTTATGATATCTGTACATCATTGATCTTCACACCTTTTTCTAATGTACCACTTGACCCCTCCCTTCTCACTCTTTGTATTTCCAGAAATAGCAGATTTTGAATCATTCAATAGTAGAAAAAGAGGCATATTTCCATTACTTGACAATGTGGGATAGGTGCAATTTATTCCATTGTCACTAAGGTAGAAAAAGCAATCCCATAGGTACCATAACCTCTTTTAGGTACCACAAGGTGTCTTTTTACACAGCTCATTTGAATACAGATGTTCGGAGAGGGGTTTTCTATTTTAAAAATAACCATATCAAAATAAATGTGCCTTATTTTTTTATAAGTCTTGTTAAATATTTTGGTGTCCATATGACTGAGAAAGGGGGAGAGGGCGGGGGTGGGGAGGAGGTGGGTACTTTCTATGACACGTAAAGTGTTATCGGTTTTGCCTGACAATGCTGGCCACATTCTGATCTGTTTCATTAAATTTGTGGTGATGTTATTCTAAACATTTTGACTATTTGAATGTACTGAGATGTCAGAAAACAAAACAAGGAAGAAAAAGTACTGTTCCATTAAAATCCGCTGCTGCCAAGAAGATGGCAGCTTGAAGCAAGGATTTTGTGACATGCAAAATCCATACACTGTTTCCATTTCACAGGAGGTAACTCTATGAAAGAATGCTTTAAAAGGGACCCTGTTTTGAAATCCACTTATAGGTAGCTCATCCTGATTTCTTTTATTAAAGAACATGTGTGTTGAGTGAATTCCAAACTTTTGTACGTGCTAACCTCAAAGTGAAGTTCCAAGCCTATGTGCCATTACAGTACTTTTGATAAAATTTATTTGGGATCATGATTAACATGACATTAACACTGAAGCAACATTAGAAACATTTAGAATATTCAGTTTTAGGATAGAAAGGATTCACTGAGTATGTACACTTTTGAAAATTCTCTTTGTGTTACCTAATAAATTTAGTATTCTCTGACTTTAAACTTCCTTTTACCTCCTGCCATTCCAGCATCTTTATAGAGAAGTTGAAACCTAATTTCTGTTTCACCAGGTAGTCTGATGATCATCCTTTTTTTTTTTTTTTTTTTTTTTTTTTTTTACCAAGATGCAGCTCCTACAATTATTGCTAAGTTATGTTAAGTTCATAAATTTTTTTCGCCTTTAATAATTAAGGAAACAATACTGGTGTTGATGAAGATATTATAAGGGAGTAATTTCATGCAATAAACATGTACTGTAAGTTTCCTTCCTCATTTTGGGGGATAAACAACTAAAAGAAAAAAAAAAAAAACAAAACACTTCCTTTTTGTGGACATCTACAGATGTTAAGATTGCCAGAAGCAAATCCCAGGAATAAGATCAGTATTTTCATTGCATCTTAAATGTAAAACCTTCCTTTGGGAGTTCACTGTGTTCTGTGGTTAAGTGGGTGTGCTTAATCATTGTGGAAATTCTGATCAGTTGAAATAAAAAATCTTGATGCAATAACAGTGGTTTTGCCACTTCTGGTTGTTTGAGATGGATCTGTCCCATGTCAGTCGGGGTCTTAGTGTGTGTTGCCACCGTTCACAGGTAAAGCAGAAATTCTCTTTAAACCAGCAAATTTCTGCTTTTTATTTTTAGAATAAATCATCAGGGAAATGAGGAGAGGATGCTTTTGCTTTGGGTTGCGGTCACGAACTGATTAATTTAGTGTCTCTGGCACACCTAAAAACCTACATTTCAGTTGTGATCTCGGTGGCATATTTGTTTGCTTGGGTTTTATTACATTTGTTACCGCAGATGTTCAGTTGAGCGAGTAGGTCATTCCTGTGATTTTTTTTTTTTTTTTTTTGGTAATTTGAGCTTTTACCTGCAGTGTTTGAGAACTCGGCATTCTTGTTTTCTTCAAATACTGATTAAAATAAAATGCTATAAAATGTGTTGTGAAACATTTTAATTACCTTCCCATGTCTTTGTTGTACTTGTGTCGAAATGTTTTCACATTCCTTTGGAAGAAAATCTTTGCTTTCATTTTGATTATGTTGCTTATCTTGGAATCAAATAGGTTTTGATATTTTTCTCTTGGAAGGTTTTATATCTTTTTGGGAATATGTAATATAAGATCTCTAATAAAAGATAAATCTTACCATGTACGTAGTCCTCCAGAGTGCTGCTTAAGTCTTATTTTGTAAACAACAAGAATTAGTACATTTTGAGGCGTAGGGTGGAAGAGTGAGGGTCTGTTCTTTGTTCCTTCAAGAATGAATCACTAGACCTTCTGCCCAGTGCTGGTTGGGAAATACAGTTTGAGAGAGCAAGTGGCAGGCGGGGGTGGTGATGAGTTTGTCTGGGTTTGTGGCCACCTTTGAGTTTGGGGTGTGGGAACCTTCCGGACAGTGTGGTACCTGTGGGGCCTTCTGAGCCAATTGGAGGAGCAGGGTCTGGTCAGATTCCGTATGTTACAGGACAGTAGTGAGAGGAAGACGACACAGGAAGCCAAGAAGTTTCCCGTGAGCTGATCAGGAGGGCGAGTGGGATCTGGAGGCACCCCGCCGGCCCCACCCAGCGCCCAGGGCGGTGGCTTTCAGAGAAGTCCTTCAAAGGCGGGAGGTGGGGCGGCTGAAGGACAAATACGCCAGAGGATCCTGTGGGTTAGCCGGGCAAGTGAGAACGTGCTAACTGGGGAGTTTGGGCTTGTTTTGGGTGACGTAGTACAGAGGCTAGTCAATTTGTAGTATGCATGTGCCAAGCTAAAAACTCGGGAGAGAACTCTCCATAAGCATCTCATTAGCATATAAGGAAAATTGTGTTTGGCTCCGTCACATTTGATTATCAACACGTCAAAATAATTTGACTATCAAGACTTGTAAAGAAACACGTAGTTTCGGTAGGTATCTGCTCACGGACTCCCGCGAACCTGTGAGCGGCAACCAAGGGAGCGCGAGCGCGACTGACCGGCTGAACGGGCGGCCGGACGGGGGGTGGCCGAGCATCAGCAAGGCCCCGGCTGAAGCGGAACGAGGAGATGGATTGTTCCCGGTAAGGAACGGTCGAGGGTCGAAGGAGCTCCAGAGACAGGCAGAGCCAAGCACGAGATGACGTCGTCCAGGATCTGTCTTCATCTCCTGGCTTGGCTTTCCTCTCCGCGGTTCTCATTCCCACGCCAAGGGCTCCACGTTTGAGGGCAAAAGGCTGCCCCAGACCCGGACTCGCGTCCGGCCGGCTGGGTGCCCCGCTGAGAGAGCGCCTTCAATTATTCAGCCAATGTCCTGGCACTGATGTCGCTTCCTCTGGCTCATGTGCTAATGACCGTGGCCCCCCGGCTGAAGCGGAACGAGGAGATCGATTGTTCCCGGTAACGAACGGTCGAGGGTCGAAGGAGCTCCAGAGACAGGCAGAGCCTAGCACGAGATGACGTCGTCCAGGATCTGTCCTCATCTCCTGGGTGCCCCGCTGAGAGAACGCCTTCAATTATTCTGCCAATGTCCTGGCACTGACGTCGCTTCCTCTGGCTCATATGCTAATGACCGTGGCCCCCCGGCTGAAGCGGAACGAGGAGATCGATTGTTCCCGGTAAGGAACGGTCGAGGGTTGAAGGACCTCCAGAGACAGGCAGAGCCAAGCACGAGATGACGTCGTCCAGGATCTGTCTTCGTCTCCTGGGTGCCCCGCTGAGAGAGCGCCTTCAATTATTCAGCCAATGTCCTGGCATTGACGTCACTGGCTTCCTCTGGCTCATGTGCTAATGACCGTGGCCCCCCGGCTGAAGAGGAACGAGGAGATCGATTGTTCCCGGTAAGGAACGGTCGAGCGTCGAAGGAGCTCCAGAGACAGGCAGAGCCAAGCACGAGATGACGTCGTCCAGGATCTGTCCTCATCTCCTGGGTGCCCCGCTGAGAGAGTGCCTTCAATTATTCAGCCAATGTCCTGGCACTGACGTCGCTTCCTCTGGCTCATATGATAATGACCGTGGCCCCCCGGCTGAAGCGGAACGAGGAGATCGATTGTTCCCGGTAAGGAACGGTCGAGGGTCGAAGGAGTTCCAGAGACAGGCAGAGCCAAGCACGAGACGACGTCGTCCAGGATCTGTCCTTATCTCCTGGGTGCCCCGCTGAGAGAGCGCCTTCAATTATTCAGCCAATGTCCTGGCACTGACGTCGCTTCCTCTGGCACATGTGTTAATGACCGTGGTGAGGGCAGCGTTCGGCTCGCATGAATCACGCGGAATCGCGTAAGTGAGAAATAGTCCCCCCCCCCCAACGTGCACACCCATAGAAGGTGGGGTTCTACAACCAGAGAAAAGGGCTGGGGACCTTGAATACGAGGTGGACAAAATACAGTAGAAACACATCGCGGAGAAAATCCAAATACGCAGATCTGAAGGAAGCAGCTCACCCAGTTTCAGTTCCAGGAAAGTTCCGTAGAAGACACAGATTTGAGACAGTTCTTAAAAGATGCATTTGATTCGAACAGAGACAACACGTGTGTTCCTTGGAAAAGACAGAATAAGGAAAGATGGTAACAGGAGGCGTAGAGAACTAGAAATAGTTTCCTCTGCCTGGAGCAGCGCCACCCAGTAAAACTTTCTTTAATAAGGGCAAGTTCGTCATCCATGGGCTGTCCCATAGAGCAGCCACTAGCCACCTGTGGCTTTGAGCATTTGAGATGTAGTAGTGCAACTAAGGAACTGAATGTCTTATTTTAGCTTAATTAAATTTAGCAACATGTAGCCACTGTTTCAGTACCGGTCTGTACATGGTATGCACAGGACAGTAGTAGGAAATACAACCAAATATGT